GCTCCCAGGCCGCCCAACTTGCCGGCACACAGCATTGTGTAGCCGGCGTACAGCACTGTGTAGCCGGCGCGGGAGCCCAGTCCCGGCTCCGCTGTTCCTGCCGGAAGCACGCGCGCCGCGTTTCCAAGGAAGCGGACCACGCCGCGTCACGTGACGCCCACGCTTCCGGGTCGGCGCGCGGGGCCCGCAAGACGTGGGCACGTCGGCGTCCTGGGGCAAGAGCGTAACCCCGCTGCTTCCTTGGCAGCCGCTGCGATCTCGCGCCCCCGTGTGCTCGGAGGTCTCCTCTTCCTCCACGTGACTCCAGGAGGCGGGCCGCATCTCACCACGCGACGAATTCTTCCAGGAGGGGCAGTGGAACCCCAGAGAAGGCGGCGTGAGAGGTCTGAAGGCCTTCTCAGATGTCACAGGACCAATGACGCGCCATGACTCAATCGGCTTCCACTCGAAAAGGTTGAAATTAAATATGCAGTGTGACTGCACGTCACTGCAGGGGGATCAAGTAAATCTTCATCTAGTTTGACTTCAAAAATTATAATAATAATGTACAACATAAGTTCGAAAAAGGAAGATTTCGCCAAACTTAAGTCAACAAGATGGGCATGAAAAGATTTGGGGGCGAGAAAGGTATTAGGGACTTGTGATTTGGAGTGTGGCATGGTGCTGTCTCCAGACACCGGCCACTTCTTGATCTATCAGTGGATGGGGCTGCTGAATTCCAAACATGAGACTGTCCCCTTGAGAATGGACCTTTCTGTGGACGGAAAGCCAGGTGACTCGGTGTGAGAAAGCCCAGGAAAGTAAGGAAGGAGAGCCTGATATGCATAGCCTTCTGACAGCTCCTCAAAACATCCTCTCTCCACCTCAGCTTGAAACGGAAACTGGATTCTCAGTGATTCCAATAAATCAATGTCTGAATGCAGAGGGCTTTGAAGGTCGTGGTCTTCTGTGAACGAAATAAAGCATGATTCACGTGTCGTGCATACCTAGGGTGTGACTTGTACAAAGGAAGGAGAACCCATGCAAACCTTTTTTATTGCATGGTAAGTACAGTTAAATTTTCTTAAATGTGGTTTATTTAGAGCGTTATCTCACCTGAATGTGTGAGCTTAAAGGAACAACATTGCCTGCTGGGTTAAGAACCTTCTCTAAAGTTCCAGAGAGCCAGAAGCAAAAGCCAAGAGGTGTGCATGCTCCCTCCAGAAAGCTTCTAAATGTTCCCCCTTCCTCACCCCCAAACAATTTAGTTTTAAATGGAGTTTGTTTTCAATTTAGCTTGGTAAGAAGGAAAAGCCCAAGTGATGATGATGATGAAAATGATGATAAATAATTAAAGTTTAGTTAAGACAATACTATTGTGTACCTATACAATTCTTTACAACTTAACTATAAATTCTATATTTCATTGTGTATATATGGTAAATTGTGAGTTCCTTTTTTACTGTTTTCTTATCAAAGATTTAAAGCTATTGAAAATCCCCAAATTCCTAACTCCATGTTGATTAATATCACTTTATTTGTAACTGGTTGGTTCTTAGGGGACTTGGTGGCAGCCACCCCACATTGCAGACCTAACACCTGTTTAGCAGGCCCTTACAAAGATGTCAGATATGCCATCTAAAAAAGAAAATTCATCAATATATTCGACAAAAATGCTTAATTTATCATATATTTTTTCAAAAGGAGTTTCAAATCCGAGAGCCTTCTTTTATCCCAAAATGGTTTTTATACAAGGGTACCTAACCGTCTACAATGCGAACATTTAAGCCTAAGAATGCCCTCAATGAATGATGACTCGTGCCAAGTTAACAAGGTGTCTCGTGTCTCAGAGCGCCTGTCATCGTTAGACTTTTTTAAATTGTAGTCCAGATTCACAGACAACCATTGAGAAATAATCCCAAATGGCATACTAGACCGCCGCCCCCACCCCATCAATGGTATCTCTTTGAAGATCTTTAAAACATGTTTTACAGCTCATATTCTGTATTTGCCCTACAAAAATTATTTTGTAAAAACTTGGATCCTATGTCTTGGTCATAGATTCTACTTTTTTCCTTTATGCTAATCTCAGCCTATAAAGTTGTAGCCTTAAATAGAAGGGAGTCAGCACGTTGTGGACCCAGTCCTTGTTGGGTCCACAACAAAACTAGACTTTAAACAGGAAAAACAGCTTGGGTTATTACAATTCAAAAAAAGCTAAAGAATAAAGACATTCTGGCTAAATAAGGAAGCGAAATGATCGGTCATCCAATAGCTAGGAAGAAGTAGGGCATGAGGCAAGCTCTGGATCTGGGGTGCAAAATTTAAGGAGGCACTCACTCTTGGGGTCAAGTTCATGCAATGTCAGCACCTGAGAGTGAGCACCTCCTTAAATTTTGCATGCAGGGTGCCTCATCTGCTTCACCCTAGTCCAGACTCTGTTCTAGAAGAAATATATATTAAGAAAGGCCAGTAAAATACCTATAAATAGAAATTATTTCTGTATATTTCTCAATATTTTTTCTTACCAGCAAGCAATTTTTCAGTATCCCATGTACAGCTGTGCTGCCTGCTACTAACGATAATTCAGAGAAGTCCACCTTTCCCTGAGAAGGAAGATATCACCATAACTGCGTCGACTCGGTTGGAGTATGGATAGCATGGTGGTTAAATCCCAGTTTGAAGGGATGTATCCTGTCAGACACACATCCTGGGTTGTGGTTCAGAAAATGCTATAGCCTGACTCTGCACTGAGCTTGAGTCCTTTTGCTTTTCTATTAGTTGCTTTCTACTAATAGAAAAGTGAATCGAGTTAACTTGTGAGGGCTGAAACTGCACAAAACTATTAAGTTCAACCTCTATTGCACAATGGGGTCTGAGGCACAGAAAGGCTGAAAAACGTCTGTCCTACATAACGCACCAAATTCACGTTCCTTTGTCGTGGCTGAAACAACCCATACATCTCAGTTCTGTCTGGGGCTTTTTCCTCTGCAATCGGGCCACCCCTCTCGTTGGACCATGGGTCACATAAATTTTTTCAGGAGGACGTGGTGGTAACAATAACATAAAACAAAACAAACACCTGCATCAATCTGGATTAAGTGAGCAGAGGATTTGTTGGCTCACACAGCAAAACAGTCCGGGGTACTCTGCTTTCAGGTACAGCTGGATTTGGGGCCCTAAACAATGTCACCGAACTAGGTTCTCTCCAGCTCTTCAGCCTGGTTCTCCAGCTCTGTAGATGAGCAGAATGGCTAGCAGGTCTAACTGCTGAAAAAGATCTTACCTTTTTTTTTCAATGTCCCTTCAAAAGTTGCAGATGGCACGTCATTGGCTCTGACTGGAGCAAGTGCCATCTTGGAAGTCATCACCGAGGAGGCGCTGTTCTGATTAGCCACACCTGAGTCCTGCGCCCACCCCCACAGAGGAGCGTCACCAACATCTGAAAGCCTGGGCCTGGGAGTGGACATTAGGACATTTTCATCAGAAGAAAGGGAAGTGGATGGTGCCTGTCTGAACAAGAAATTTTGGCTGTAGGCCTGAAGGTCAAGTTTCCCTTTTACTCGACAATCTTAGTAAATTCATCCCTAACATCCACTTCACACTGTGACTCTGTTTGGTGTCTCTGTCCAGTAACCTTTTTCTCTTGCGTAGCTCATATAAAATTTTAGAAGGTAAATGGTGAAAACTATCCAATGGGATTTGCCCTGCTGGGTTTCAGACTTGTTTGGGACCCACGGTCCCTTTTTGCCTTCCTCCTCCTTCCCTTTTAAAATGGGATGGCTGTCCTGTGCCTGTCTCGCCATTGTTTTTAGAAGTACGTAACTTGCTGTTTGGTTTCACAGGTTCACAGATACAGAATTTTGCCTCAGGTTGATTCATTCACACAATAGATCTCACGTATAACTGACTTAAGTGATTTAGATCGTGAGATCTCTGATTTTGAGTTGATATTTAGATGAGATTTTTGGATTTAGAGTTGATGCTGAAATTGTTAAGATGTGTGTGGATGCTGAGATGAGATGGATGTGTTTTGCACATGGGAAGAACTCGAATTTTGGGGATCGGAGAGCAAACTGTTACGGGTTGAGTCGTGTCTACAGAAAAGATATGTCAAAGTCCTAACCCTTCGTATCTGTGAATGTGACCTTATTTTGAAATAGGGTCTTTGCAGATATAATTAGGTTAAGACGATGTCATACTTAGGCCCATCCTAATTTAATATAATTGGTGTCCTCATAAGAAGAGGGGATTTTGTGCACAGAGGGAAGATGGCCATGTGAAGTCAGAGGTAAAGCTTGGAGTGAAGCCCATGAATGTCTGGGACTGCTAGAAGCTGAGAGCATCAGGACAGGATGCTCTCCAAGAGGCTTTGGAGGGGACCTGGCCCTGCCAGCACCTTGATTTGGGGCTTCTAGCCTCCAGAACTGTGAGAATAAATTTTTGTTGTTTGAGCCACGCAGTGTGTGGTACTTTGTTATAGCAATCTCAGGAAACCAATACAGATTCAAGTCTGGCAAAGGTTTGCTAGACAGCTATTTGTTGAAATGAATGACAAGTAAAACCTAAGTTAGAATATGAGCGAAGTGTTCCCCTTTCTGGAATGTCTCGTTGTCACCAGCTTAAAACTCATATTAGTTGCTAAGCGGAGAAAACATTTTCCTTTTCCTTCTCCCTAATGTCCTCAGAAATACACCTGAGAGATAAATCATATTATGGCTCCTCCGAGTACTAAAATGATAGCAAAACACTCTTCCCACAAGAAATGCAAACGAAAGGATGTTTCAGGTAACGGGAATGACGAAAATATTCAATTATAATAAATGACGCAAGTATTTAAAAATTTACTCTCAGAGGGTGAGTTACATAGAATCTGTTTTCGGAACAACTTTCCAGTTTCCACCTCTTTATGATTATGAAAACAATGAGTAATTCATATAGAAACGTTATGTAACCACGTCTCCGCTGAACTAATTCTGATGTATAGCGAGGCAGATTTATTTACAGACGCTTCTGCATCATTAGGTGCTGAACAAAAGGAAGCCCGTGAAGGTCGTGTCGTCATCCTCATCCGCAAACAAGCCGTTAAACCTCTCTCCTCCCGTCGCTTGCATCCACACCTCGTCCCCAAGCTTCAGCTGCAGAACGATGCCCCCGGAGGCCTGGTCCTCAGAGCTCATGTAACTGTCCTTAGTGTGCAGAACCTTTACCCCATTTTTGATCAAAGATACCTGCACGTTCCTGGAGAACACGGTGATGTGGTAGGTGAAGTAGTAGACCCCGGCAACGTGGCACGTGAATTTCCCCGTAGCTATGTCGTAGTGGTTGAATTCGTTGTACAGGATCCTGTCAAACTTGACGGGCACATCCGAGGGCGGGAACTTGCTCAGCACGGTGAGCCCCACGGTGAAAGCGCTTTTCGGCAAGACCGGCATCTCGCCAATTTTCCCTTTTTCTCCGCGATCCCCTTTCCAGCCCCTCATTCCCCGCACTCCTGGCTCACCTTGGGGCCCCAGCGGCCCAGCCTCTCCCTTGGGACCAGGCTTTCCAGGGGGGCCTACGGGGCCCGGTAAACCAGTTGGGCCCAAAGGACCAGTGTTGCCCCTTAGCCCTTCTGGACCAGTGGAACCCACATCACCTTTGTCCCCCTTTGGCCCTTGAGGGCCCGTCTCTCCCCTGAGCCCTTTCTCCCCCGGGGAACCAACGAATCCCTTTGGCCCGTGTTTGCCTGGCGGTCCTCTCGAGCCTGGATCACCCTTGATGCCTTTTGCTTCAACTTTTCCATCTGCTCCTAAGTAGGGGAGGAAAGAACAAAGGAAGACATGATTTATGAGAAACATTGCCTTGTAAAAAACAACTTGGGTTTTCCATCATCGAGCACATGAGCACAATGTCGCTCGGCATGCGCTCAGGGTTTGAAAATTCACTCCTAAATCGCACACGCACAAAAATCACCTTCAACCTCCACCTGCTAGACGGTGTCGGGCTCACGTTATCAGTTATCACCCCTTACCACCTGGGTCACTATGAGCAACACACACCTTGAGGATCCCGAAGAACAGCAGAGGGCGGATCAACTCAGGTGACTTTCAGTAAACCTACCCTCGGTTATGTGACATCCCCAAAAAAGTGCCTCATGGGACTGAACACCAAATAAACCCTTCTGGGTGGCATCGATGGCTCTCGTGTCCAGCCCCAACTGTGACGTGCCGACCCCATCGCACACTTGGTCATTCACAGGTCCACTCGGCACGTCCTCACCCCCCGCCTGGGCTAGAGAGCACTGGTTCTGAGCATGCACCCCGGACTTCAAGGCCAGAGTTCAGCCCCCTCTCCACTGCCATGCCGGGGACATCGGGCAAGCCAACCGGCCACCTTCCCCCCTGTTTCCTCCTCCACGGTGTTAGGATAGTGTTACTGCCCCGTTTGTAGGCCATCGTACTGAGTCTGTACATGAAAAGCACTTGGAACAACCTCGTGTGAAGCGAACGTTATGCGCTTGCCCGTATGACCATTCTCCCGTCCCATCAGTCACAGCTGCCAAGAGTTCATCCTACCCTTCAGAGCCACCTTGTCCCTGTAGTGTCGCCAGATGCACTGAGTCGAAACACCGTGTCATTCCTCAATGCTCGCACACCAGCTCAGGCTTCGGAAAACTATGGCCCACGGGCCAAATCCGGCCTCCTGTCTGGTTTTGTATGGCCCACAAGCTAAGAATGCTTTACGTTTTTAAGAGGTCACAAATAATATTCCGCGATGCATGAAAATTACATAAAATTCAGGTTTCAGTTATCAAAGAGTTTCCTTGGAACACAGCCCCATGTATCGTGTGTATCTATGGCTGCTTTTCGCTACAGTAGCAGAATTGAGTAGTTGTGTTGGAGACCGCGTGGCCTGCAAAGCTGAAAATATTCACTATCTGGCCCTTGGCAGAGAAGTTTGCTGATCTCTGCACTGAATCGTGAGCTTCCGGAGAGGAGGACCTGTGTCACCTTCGTCATTGCATCCTCACTGGCCCAGCCCAAGTGAAGAACTTGTCCTTGCTAAGTATTTACCAATTGTTGCTCAATCATCGGTAGTTCAGTATTAGTGCCCGGTAAAACAGGACGCCATTTCTGACCTTTTTCTCCTTTCTCTCCATTCATTCCATCCTTCCCTGAATCACCAGGGCGTCCTGGCTCTCCTAGGTGGAAAAGAAGAGAAAAAACGAGAGTAAAACTCGAATTTTCCTGATTTTCCTAGACATCAGTCTCAACCAGTGGTGTAGACTGGATGGTCCTGGGGGAGCCTCCCAGACCGGACACACACACACACACACACACACACACACACACACACACACTCCCCACAGAAGTGCAGGGGGAGGCAGGCAGGTGTGAGCGAGCAGCAAAGGGGGCTGAGCTGTGTAGAGGAAGTGAATTATGAAATGCATGGGGTGGACCTCCCAAGCGGCTGGCTCCAAGAAGGCAGGACAAGAACGAGGTGCGTGCACAGACGATCACGACTGCGTTTTCTCATGCAATGGGCGCTCAGGAGGGGACTGGACGTCAGAAGCCCTGGGCGACTTTCTCATTTCTGCTGCTTTTCCATCGTTCTTGCAGAGAGTGGGGTGGAAAGTTTACTAGCCTTCGTGCTGCGGTTACACAGCACAATTTGGGATAGAAGGGAGGGTTCTGGAAGGATCTCTCTAGTGCCTTAGGGTGGTGGTAGACGTCACCGATTGAGTTGGCACGGCAGACTCCATTGGAAACATCCGGTGGGTGAGGTTTGGCCGACCACACGTAAGTCCCGGTGCTCGGACGGGCTGCCCCGAGCTCCAGCTTCCCGTGTGTCAGTCGACAGGATGGAGGTGGCTCCAGGCATGGCAGTAGGAGGGCTCACCAGGATGTGGTTCGCTCCAGACTCCAGCTTCCCAAACGATAGCGTCAGATACCCCGTACTTCAGCCCCACTGACCCAGTTGTGGTGACGAAGCAAGCTGGGCCAGTTTCCAAGTCTTGACAAAGGACTGACATGGGCAGATTCATATCAGTGATGTCTGGTCTCCTGGGGCTCCAGGCAGGCTCTGGGTCCTGGCGGGGGGGTGGAGCGGGGTAGTCTCTGGGCAGACGTCACCCCTGCATTTACCTCCTCCTTTTCTTTCCCTGTCCACTCCACTCCAGAGTCTTCCTCTCCTCCCTGCTTTTCGGTTTCCCTGCTCACTTCTCAATTCTTCCATCTCTAGAAGAATGGCCTCCAAACTTTCATGATCATGCACCTCCGAGTAACAAAGGATGAACGCGTACTCTAATGAATGCGCATTTATGCATTTATCAATTACATACGGATAGTGTTCTAAAAACATGTTCATCATAAAACGTACACACAAATACATTTGAAGAGGGTAAGATAAAGATGAAGCTGATTTTTAATAAGTGTGATTAAAGACACTTCTAAGAAACATGTATATATAATATAAACTGTACAAAGCATATATCTCTATCTCTCTATCTCTATCTCTATCTCTATCTCTATCTCTATCTCTATCTCTATCTATCTCTATATCTATATCTATATCTGCTTTGAAGAAGCATGTAAAATGCCAAAGAACGGATACCATTGAGGAAGACAGAGATTCAATAGGGGAGAAGTAGAGAAATTTGTTGTTGAACATATGAACATTTGTCTTTACTTTTTTATCTATCTTTTATCTCCTTTGGCGTACGTAAAATATTTTAACATACAAAAAAAAATAAATTAAAATCCCATATGTTTGGAAATAAGACATACACACCCACTCTCAAGTCAGAAGGGATGAGCACCCGAAGGCGGGACTGTCACCCCACCCTGCCAGGCTCCCGTGGCCAGAAGTGTGCTGAGCTGCAGAACTGTGGCCTTGAGACTGGAGCAAAGTGCACGCAGAGGTTTTTAGAGAAAGAGAAAATGTGACCCTGGGAGTTCGAGGTCATGACTGATGTCTGGCTTTCATCTGGAAGAGTCTAAAGAAGCAGCCGAGCGAAGCTGCCCGAACGGTGAAGCGTGAGGAGCGCCCACCGCCTCTGGAGTCTGGCTGTGGGCGGGCTAGGTGGGTGCCTGCGGGGGTGCCCGGCTGCAGGTGTTCACTCAGGGCCTGCCCGGGAAAAGTGCTGCCGAGGCAAGGGGACCCTGACAGCGAGGGAGTGCGTGAAAAAACTGGGGGGCTTTCAGAGGCAGTGAGGCAATGAGCGCATTGCCCACTCCAAGGAACGGTGCAGAAGGGGGTCCACAAAGAACCCCAAAAGAATCTCACGAGAGAAAAGCCAGCTTTGAGTCGTCTTCTTCAGAGAGCACCCACGCCAGATTTTAACAGCACCAACTAAGTAATACCTTCTTGCGCCCCTTCTCCTCGGCCCTGCCCCATCTTGGGAGTCAAGCGTGGCCCTTTCAGTGAGGAGGGACAGTGGACGTGAAAGGTGGAGGAATTATGAAGACACAGGTGTAATCTGAGCACAATTAGCCTGTGGTGTCTGAGTGCGTGTGCATGCGTGCACGTGCGCACACACACACACATACACACACACACACACACACACACACATACACACACACACACACTCCACGGTCCCAGTGGGAGAGTAGAAACAAGGATTTCATTAAGACTGAGGTATTGCCATGAACGTGGACCGGGCTTTTTACAACCCAGACATCTGACAGGTCTAATGCCTAAGATACGGACTTACTGGAGACGTGATCCACTAGGAGACCCCACAGAACAGACTTGCAGGGTGACGGACAAAGAGAAGTGACATTGCTTCCTGGTGACCCTCTCCTTCATCCAGCCCACCCAATAAACGGGCTAGACTACCAAATGCCATGAGCAGGAAGAGAACACCTAGAGTTTCATTCATCTGGGCAGCAGACTTCCTGTACTGAGTCACTGATTACTTGTTTCTCCAAATCTTAACAAAGGCTTTTTTAAAAATCCATATTCCAACAGCATTTGCTGGCAAAGCATTAATTTTAGTCCATCCTGAAATTGACTTCTGCATATTATTTCAAACATTTTTAGAATAGCCAGAGGAATATCTAATCTTCTGACATGATTAATAAATATCAAAAGTGACTTCTAAATATTTATCGTTAAGTTTGGTGACGATTTTCTCCTATTTAATGTATTGCTGAGAAAAAAATGACAGAGGTTTGTGTTCACATTTCACACAGTCCTGAAATACCTTATTAACTGGGGTGCTTCTTTCTATAAATGACTGATATCTCATGGTACAATTTAGAGTTAGGATGAGGTTCGCTTTAATAGATGTAAATATAAATTCACATGCACAAAGCCTTAATAATTTCTAGGTTTTGTCAGACTTCTTGTCCAATCTGACTAGTTCATCAGTGTTTTTCTCCCCCCTAATAACATACTATTGAAGAGCTTACACTCAGGCTAGAAATGACAGCTGTGTCGTTTGCGTGTGAGTCTTTTATGTTTCTGCCCTCAACCTTCAGTTTGTTGGCAGGAGTATTTTAGGCATCCATCTATTGTGATAGCTCAATAGTATAGTTTGAACCCACCCTGGTCTGGGTACGCACAACTGCGCATAAATAGGTACACATAACTGGGTACACTGAGGCTCCCACTCTCCCTACAGGACACATTTCAAGCCTCAAGTGACACCTGTCCATCTGCAAATGGTCTGAGCGAGGCCAACCACGCCAATGCACACACAGGCACCCCCCAGAGATCGTGCAGGTTCGCTCCCAGACCACCTCAATGAAGCGAGTCATCATCTTTTTGCAGGTGGGGGGGTCTTGACTTTTGCAGGTGGGGGGGTCTTGACTTGGATTTGTAAAAAAGGTAACATCTGTGAAGCACAATCAAGTGAGTGCCAAAAAAAAAAAAAGAGGTATACCTCTATTAAAAATTTTCAAAGCTCAATTTTTTTTTCTTCACTTAAATTTATCTTGTTCAATGTCCGTAGACGTTCTGATGTTTTCTTCCTGCTCCCAAAGGGTTCATTCGGCTTATGGTCAGACCAGGGCTCAAGAAACCCGTTCAAAAACCAAGCCGATCGGTTGGTGTTATGAAAATCGCTCCCACATCCAGGCTTTTGCAAATTTCCTTTCTCGGGGCTGGATCCTGTCCCCCAAACCCCAAACCCTGGGGGCAGGTCCCAACATATGACATAGATCCCCGAGGAGCAGCTTCGGTATGGCTTCAGGCGATCATCCATTTTTGTATTCTCTGTCACTCTACGTCGCCTGCCTGACAGCAGGGCGAGCATCAACTCTCATGCGCCCTGCAACTGGGTGCTCTGTGCCAAACACTTGGCAACTGGATCTCTCTAGAGGCCCCATGTGCCACTGATCCGTTGTACCTGTCACTTGAGGCAGGAAGATCTATGACATGATTTACACCTGAAAATGGCCCTGCGGTAGCAAAGCTGATGGCTGGTTTCTCCACTAGACGAGAAAGTCCACGAGGATGGATACACCTGAAAATGGCCCTGCGGTAGCAAAGCTGACGGCTGACAACAGGTTTCTCCACTAGACGAGAAAGTCCACGAGGATGGGGGTCTTCTCAGCCTTGTACTGTACTCTAGTGCCGAGTGCAGAACCTGGCATGGGGCAGGCTCTCAGTGTTTGCTCGACTATGGGCGAACGGATGATGGGAGGATGGCCACACAGGTGATGAATGAATGAATGAATGAATGAGGTAAAAAGAATGGAGGAATACATGGAAGGGCAGCTGACGCCACCAGGGGGTGAATACCTGCTTCTCCTTTGTCACCCTTTGCTCCGTCTCGTCCATCTCTTCCGGGCAAGCCATTGTGACCGGGGTTCCCAGGGACGCCAGGGTGCCCTTGCCCGCACGTGTCCTGGGAGCTCACGTTCCCTGTGCAGACTCCGGTGGCAAGCAGGAGCCACCAGATCCTCATGGTTCAGAGGACAGAGCTGAACGGAAAGAGAAACACAGATCGAAAAGGGAAACTTTTGCCTCTCTTCCTTGCCGTGGGAAATGGACCCACCCAGGCGAAACCTGGACGGAGTGCTCAAGCTGGTGGCAGACTAAGCTGCTCACATCAGAAGGACATTGTCCTTGGAAGGGACACACGTGATCAGGCCCACTTTTAAAGGTGAGCAAGCAAGGAGAAAGTCAACTTCCAAGGCAGGACACTTACTTCCATTCATCATTTCGCTTTGGGCAAACCACATTTTGGGAGCCACGAGAGAGACTGATGCTCCCTGATCTCACAGAGCTGCTGTAAAATCCAAATTTGATCACCATGTGCATGAAAGCACACTGTAAATAGCGAAGCAAATGTAGAATTAGTATCGGATCCAGCCACCCCGCCTCTGGGTACCTATGCAAAAGAACTGAAAGCAAAGCCTCGAAGAAATATTGGCACACACATGTTCACAGCAGCATCATTCACAACGGCCAAAAGGGGGAAGCAACACACATGTCCACTGACGCATGAGCGGATGGAAAAAATGTGGTCTATCGATACCATGGAATATTAGTCACACTTAAAAACAAAGACAATTCCGCCACACGCGACGACACGGATGAACCTCGAAGACGTATGCTCTGTGAAAAGAAGCGAGTCACAAAAGAGCCAGTATTTCACGATTCCACCTATGTGTGGTACCTGGACTAGTCAAGTTCATAGAGATGGGGTGGTATGGTGAGAGCCTGGGGCCGTGTGGAGAGGTAGAGGGAGTCACTGTTCAGTGGGGACAGAGTTCCAGTTTAGGAGGCTGAAAACAGCCGGACAGTGTGGATGTACTTAACACCAGTGACCTGTGCACTTTAAAGTGACTGAAACGGTAAATTGTGTTATGCGTATTTTACCACAGTAAAAAAATAAAATAAAATAAAAATAGTAAAGCTTTCGAGCTATCCTACTATGATTTTTCGAGTTCGGGTTTTGTTTTCACGGGAGGCCACGGTGGAGAAAGGCACACTTGCACACGCAGAAGGGCACGCGGTTCGAGAAGCCCTCTTTCAAGTCCTCCCTGCGAGTCGTTGATTTGCTTTCCGACCTCATCAGCAGCTAAGACAATGCTGGCCTGTGAGGTGGGGCCTGAGATCTAGGGAGGGGAGCAGTGGATCCGGTGGAATGTTCTAGACAAAGAGAACAGCTCAGGCAAGATGCCATGGTGGAATCAATACTCGGGATGTGGGGGGCCCCCCTGACCGGATCGAAGCTCCCCACGGGGACACAGCACCCTGTCCCTCTCTTTCAGAGCACCATGGGTGAGGGGTTACGCTCGTTTTTGTAATTATGTAACTAAAAATCTGGTTACCCATCTGACAGTATTTTCCTCATTATTATATTCCCAGTACTCAATTTTAAGCCTGGAACAGCAGGATGAATAAATATGACTGTATCATGGCAGATATCTTAGGACTCAAAAAAATGACAACATACATTTAGTGCAACTGGTCAGAAGCCAGAACCTCTGCTGAAGGCAGTGGAAGTCTGCACAGCCCTTTGGGGAGTTAAAGAGAAAAGACGTCCATATCTAAGACCAAGTAATCTCACCCTTAAAATTCTTCTCAGTAACCCACAGTTTGTGTGCCAAACGCATTAACCACAGCACCGTCTGTAACAGTGTAACAACATTGCGTAATGTGTAATAACGTTGTTTTAGTAAGCAGAATATTACATAACCACTAGAATAATTATGAAGGAAGTTCTTGTAGAAATATGTAAAAGATACATGTCGTGTCGAATTTTTTTTTAAATATACTAAAGTACCGTGCACATTACGAATGTGTACCTATGTAATTACATATGCATATTGACAAAAACTAGAAGCAAATAGATCTAATTGAACGTGGTTGCTTTGGAATGGTGGGATTCTGGGAGTTTCTCCTTTTTCAAAAAAAATGCTTTTTTACAGTGTCTGTAAAAATATTTCTAGATACATATTTTTAAAAACCAGATAGTCTCTGTCATCCAAAGGATGATATCGCCACCGTATGGAGGCCTCTAAATGTCACAGGGCTTGAGGCAGATGGAGTATTTTTGGAAAAGGAAATACAGATGTTTCCCTTTGTAGTCACAACCTTACGCCATTTTGGGAAATTGAGTTGAGTTTTCTTAGAGCCAGATCCCATAAATAACCTACACCGGCCTCGTTCGCTTAACTCAGAAGTGACTGGCAGTAAGTAGTCAAATCTAAACTGTGCGGACCAACCTCTTTTAAGGGGTCTGTATCTTTCCCTTTTTAAGTTTTGTTTTAAAAAAATGTGTGTTCCAATGATTCCAATAATAAAAAGGTTACGAGATCAGACACTTGTGATAAATTCCGCGTTCTTCTCCAGCTGTAGAAAAGCTAAGATAAAAGCAAACACCTTCTCTCACTATTCTGCATACTTGATATAGGCAGAGACTGTAGCTTGCTTGCTTATACTTCATGCCTAGCGTGAAGACAACCTTCAATGATTGATTTTTGAATAATTAAAGATACTTGCCACTCACATAAACAATAGGTAAGTTATGGCATTATATCTAATAAGAAAATTTAGGAGAAGGACATGAGGGTTTGCACAAAGAATGCAGTAGAATTTGTATTAATATACTATTTTAAAAAATTTTTAAAAATTGCATTTGTGCTATTCATAAAGCCATGGGTTGGATCCCATTTAATGAGTTCAACCAGTTCATAACTCTATTTTTAATTTCTACATCTGGTGTCTCCTCGGAAGGAAGGAAGGAAGGAAGGAAGGAAGGAAGGAAGGAAGGAAGGAAGGGAGAGAGAGAGGGTGGGCGGGCAAGGTTGGTTATCCTGGTTCTACCTATGTACAGATCGTCACCTGGGGAGGTGACTGGGTATTAAATCAAATCCTTGTCAGTGCTTTTAGTGAGGATTACTAGTTTCTCCCACATTCTTTCTCACCTTCTTGCATGTAATAAAAATTTTAGCTGGCATGTAGCTGCCCACAATAGACTCCATTTCCCAGCCTCCCTTGCAGCCCAGGTATTTACATGAAACTAGGTTCTGGCCAATGAGAAGTGAGCAAAAGGGGCTTAAGCAACTTGAGGGTCATAACGGGAAAGGGCGTAACCTCCTTTGCCCCTTCCTCTTTCCTAGGGCTGGACCATGCGTGGGATGTTGAGCCATCTCGGACTCCTCAAAGGAGGGCAGTGCTTTGGGGATAGAAAAATCCTGGTCTCTGATGACAACAGACCAGAGCTGTCCTACCAGCCCATCTTTTGACATGAGACAATAATATACTAATAACTTGCCTAAGCAACCATTATTTGGGGGCTCTTTTACACATAGTTCAGCCAGCAGCTGCATGACTCATGCAAGGTTTCTGCTGTGGAAAGTGTGGGTACTCATCCAAAATGAGGAAGGTTTGTGGACTTCTGTAGTCAGTTAGCCCAGTAGACAGATGACTCACTGGGTATCCAACCCCTCAGGTGACATATGAAAAACCAACTATCATCACTGCCTCAGGCAGGTCAATACAATCCATGGGAATGCAGAGAAGAGATACCAATCCTTCTGCTGACCATGGAGTCCCTGGGTCGAGAGACCCCAGGAAGCTGCTGTGATCTGACACACTTGACACACCGATGCAGTTAGGGGCAAAGGGACACAGACGACAAATGCTTTGGGGTTACTGTGTTTTAGTCCTAAATAAAATACATTTTTAGCGAATGTCCTGTTTCTGGGTTGTTTCTCCTATGCTTGACCTATATTTCCCATTCAGTACTGAATTTCTTGATTAAAGGACACTCCATGCCTCCTCTGATTAATTTTCTGCAAGAACATGATGTCCCTAATTCACAGCCAAGGTCAAGGATTTCTGTTCTTCAAGATTCTTATGCCCCCAAAAGCTAAGAATTAGTGAAGACCTGCCAGAACCCCACTGAGCAATCTTTACTGGGTCTCCAAACCTCAGAGCCTCTGCTTCTCTGCACAAGAGATGAACAAGCTGGCAAACATCCCTCCCAGATCTGACAGTCTAAGAATCTAAAAATCTCTCAACTGGCTTCACTGGATACATTTTCTTCCACGTGCTCTGTACCTTGTACGCTTTGGGTATTTCTTCTTCGGCATATGTTGAGGGGCTTTTTTTTTTTTAAGTACAGCATAAATTAGTATAGCCATAAATAACAAATGTACACATTAAAATTTGTGCAAAATAATCTACGAGCTTCTCTAGAACGCTCTCTAGAAAGGCCTGCTCATTCTTATGGTTGTTCTGCGGTTCTGTGCCTTCTCCCAACCAGTTTGCAGAATTCTGGCAGAAGAGACAAGTTCTGCTTTTATCTCTTGTTTAGCCTCTTCGAGAATGAATTCTGGAACTGGCTTACTCCTTTCTTACCCAAAACTCTGCAGATATCTGCCTACTTGGCAAATAATTGAGCAGGATTGTCATACACTGATAATAAAAGAACTATTTTAGGACTCAGATGCCTTAAATTGAATGTAAAGAAATCGTTTCCTCATGCACTTACCTGACTGGCCCCCGGGGCTGCAGGCTGCACCCAGGTGCTGTGCAAACCAAACCAGCTCTCCAGGACAAACTAGATAAAATCACGCCTTCCTGACACACAATTCCCTGGTGGGTCTATCTGCAAAACAGCAGGAAAGGGTGGGAACAGAGCGAGGCACAAGATGTCTTGGAAGAACTTCAAAAACTCCAACAACACTTAAGTCAGGTAGCATCTTCCCCTAGCAGCCCTCGCCTCAGAAAACTTAGCTCTTTTTTTTCCTCCCTGGTACTTTTTGATGAAATGAGAGAAAATGAGTCTGGAGGAAGGAATCCCCGTGGCAGGTGACGTTGGCGCCTTTGCTGGAGCAGGTTCTCTGCCCCCTGGGGTCAGTTCTGGGACAAGAGAACAAAACTGAAGGCAACCATTCAGGCCTCATTCGGATTCCAGACCATTAGAGCTGATTTCATTTAGCTAGATCT